TGACACAACTATTCAGTAAAGGGGGGGGTGATTTTTTTTTTAAAGACTGCTAAATTGCTATGAAGCTCCATTTAATTGTCCTGCACATTTTGCAGTAAGCAATTTTAAGCAAATATACATTGATATTATTTTCCAGATGACTACTGTCTAGAGATAAAATACTCCTATGTACTTCAGTTATTTGTGTAGGGGTGTGAAGGCATTTTTATTTCTGGTACTTTTGGTTTTGGGTTTTTTTGTTCGTTTTTGGGGGTTTTTTTGGAACAAATAGAAGAGAACAGTTCAAATATTTCATAGGCAGCAGTAAGTGCACTATAGAGCCTGAAAAAGTAAAATACTTCAAATACCTCAGCAGTGCTAAGAGGCCACTATAAATGACTGTGACTAGGACTTGTATCCACTTTTAATCACTGGAAAATTTCTTAAATGGCATAGGCTTCTCTGTGTCCAGTTGTTGCAGAACTTCTTCATCTGCCATCTGAAGGAACAACACGCTGTTAGCCTAGCACAGAACTCAGAGCAAACCAAGAACGGGAATAGCTGAAATGAAGTTTGGGAACCCAAATCACTTGTGCTTTCTTATATGTCCTGTAAATAGGCAATCCAGTTAGTTCTGAATAAGGAAAAAAATCCTCTCACAAGGCCATAGTGGCCAACTGAGGCTGACTTTGTCAGTTCTCAGTTAGAGATCCCTTGCTGGTATCCTGCCATTGTTGGTGGGGGAGTGGGAGGGAAGGAGAAGTGAGAAGAAATAAGGAGTTCCTTTTCCACATAGACTCAAAGCTTGTGGTTCTTCCCCTTTAGTTCTTCAGAGAACTGCCCATGCAAGGAGCAGAAACCCCCAGTTAATTGCTTGGAGGATAGACTTGTGAAAAATACTAACAAACTAGAGATTCTCTGCATTCAGGGGCTTGAAACAAATTTCTCTGTCCTTCCATGCTTCCCACTGGAACAATATTTAAATTACATGCATTTTTTTAGCAAAACATTATTAACAAGTGCTCACCTATGAACTGGAAGGGCCCAGCCAAGTAAGGGCATGCAGGTATAACTGCATCCTTGTAGCACAAATCTGTGTACAAAGATTTCACTCTGCAGCCTTTTAATCCTATCTCCTTCTTGGAAATGTTTGTTTTGTTTGCGCTTGCATTACTTGAGCTGTGCAATACAATGTAAGACCAGTAAAAAGCCAGCTAAATCTATGGCCCAGCTTGGGAGAAAATACCACTGCATCAGTCTTTAATTTCTCCACTGCAGCTGGGATTGCTCACACAGAAAGCTGCTGGCAGAGCGGAATTCTGCAAGTGATTGTTAGCTGTAGGCTTAGCTGTGCTGGCTTGCATGCAGCTGGGGTATGGGAGTGTGTACTGTGATCGGAGAGACTGCCATGGAGACCCTGTTTCCAGGCAGCTCGTAGGGAAACTGAGGCAGTACTGAAGCCATCAGAATACAGCCCTTCCCTGATCAACCTCTTCCTGACCAAATGAGCCTCTTTAGTCAGGGATAGAAAGCAGATACTTAATTACAGCCCTGGGTTTCTTTATTATTCATCTCCTGTGCTTGCAAATAATGATATACATGAAGGCATTAGCTAGTAATGATTTATCTAAATCATCCAGTAACAGTCAGACTAACCTTCCTGTGAGCTAAGCAGGTCAAACGATGCATCTTTTTTTTTCAGTCTCTCACATCGCTGCACTGCAACAGTTTGAGGGTTATTTTCCTTGTTGCTTAGAAAATATGTCTGAAGCTGTTTTGGTGGCAGAGCCAGGTACCTGAAGGCCACCCAACTCATATCTTCCAATTATAAAAGATAGATGAAAATTCTGTGAAATTCTGAGGAAAATCTCTAAAAGGGATACATGTGGTTAACATTTAGATACACCTTTACACGCAGTCATCAAACAGCAGTACCCGGCAGTTTACAGCCAGTACAGACCCTCTGTCTCAAGTATGCCTCCACCAGGCTACAGCTGAATCAGACGTAAGTTGTCACACCTTCATGTCAGTTTGGCTTCACTGTCAGGTTCAGTGCTAACTGTTGTACAGTTCTGCACACTTCTGATGCTTCTGCTCCGTTGAGGTGTATTTCAGGGTGGTTACAGCGTCACTGAAGTTGCTGAGTGATGCTACTGAAGGAGCTCCTCTGGGCTATCCTCTCTCAAGCTAGTCATTGACCTCCCTCTTGGGAACAAGGGTGGATTCTGCTTAAAACTTCATCTTTTCTTATTCTTTCTCTCTTATTTTTACATAACCATTACAGGATAATCTCAAGAAATGCCTTAGCATATGCATTAACTGTAAAAGAATGAAGAAGGGCCTTAGGGACACACTATTAAATCATGGCAATGAATCAATGCCTGAGTAAGAAAAAGGAATCTTCACTTCCCTGGAATGAGCCTTGGCCCTGCCTTAATCTTCTGTAAAGACAAAAAATAGAGATTGGCTGGAACTGATGAATTCATTCTGGTGCAAATCTTCAGTGACGAAAATTAAACTGGGGCTTGATTTTAGTGTGCTTAGTTTACAGGGTATGAAAATCATCATTTGTTACTCAGGTGTTTGAAGATGAATAAAAACTGGGTACGTGAATTCTTGTCCTCCAGTTATGGACAGTTTCCTCACTGATTGCACCCTGGCATTCAGAGAGGCAGCCTTAGCTGCTACTCAAGGGAGCCTGTCTGTGGATAGCAAGGCTCACAGTGCAACTGGCAAGCATTGTGCCTGTCACAGGTTGCCACATGCTGATATTCACCTCAGTTCAGTGTTGTGTCTCCTCTGCTCTTCTGTTGTGTGTTTGTGTGTGTCTTCCATGATAGGTGTTTCTCAGGGATACTATTAGTTGCACTGGATTCTGGAGACAATGTGTTGCATATTGTTTTGGGTTACCTCTCGAAACACAGTCTGTGAACATCTATGTCTCACAAAGCCTTTGGGAAGTTCTGCATGTTTCCAAAATCAAGATTGATGTATCTGGAAGATTTCTTTAGTAACATATGATGGCTATTTCATGACGTTACATGTCATGTGGAATTCACTGGGTCACGTGGAAAAAACTGGGTCACTACTTAGAATATGAACTCTAGCACCTACATATGGCTTGTTTGTTTGTTTTTTTTTTTATTTAATAGAAAATAAATAGATAATGCTAATCGCTGTCCAGAAGATACACCCAGAAGATAAAAAGGAAAGGAGCAGGTGAGACCATCTGTAAAATCTTGTTTTCTGAAACCCTGTTATTTCCTGAGACTGTATCCTATGTGAGTGGGTGCAGGTCAGTCTCTCCTTGCCTAGAGGGTTCAGTGGTCTGAGTGTAAACTTAAAGGTGCAGATGGTATGGTAATGCTTTTACATGTAATATCATTACAATTTTCTCCTGACTAAAGTTGGGACTGTCCAGCACACTCCTTAACTAGGTAACAAGGTTCTCTCATCCATGTTTTCCCTCTTCCCTCATCTCTAGCTATTGCAGTACTGCAGTACTCTACTGCTTTGCTGTAGGGATATCTCCTTTCCTGCACTCAGAAAGTAATAACTCAACTTTCATCCTCTAAGACTTGCTTGAGTCTAAATGAAAGGAGGTGAGTAACTGTCTAATTAGCCAAAATCCTGTCAGTGCTCTATAAAAGGGCAGTACCAATACAGTGTCAGTCATCACTTTGAACTGACGAGGAGGGCTGGACTTTTCACAATCTCAAAAAGAGATACAGGTGTCAGGAACCTGAGGAGGACATGGGGGTTTTGCAGTATGACAGTCACCTGCAGATCTGCCTGATTTTCACTATATAATGTAACGCTAAACTGCATCACCATACTGAGTTGAAGGGTTTTATACCATAAAGCTTCTTCCTTGCTCTTGCAGCAGCTTGTGATAAACTACCATGCTCTAGGAAGGGCAGTAGAAAGACACTTTTTTTGCCTTAACGGCCAAAAGTTAGGCACCTCTTCTGGGATTCAGAATATAATGGTTAGGTTCCTTGCCCTGCTACAGTTGTTTTGTTTGATCTTGAGCAAGTTAATCAGCTGAAGTTGAGTATTCGCTACTGAAGTGTAAATGAGACAGAATTCCTTCTTGTACAATGAGAGTTTCTATGGGTAACTATGAGGTGTACACATACTGTTTTACTGGGGAGCTGTATAAATATCCCGGAGTATAACGACTGGTGTAGTTGCAGACAGTGGCCTTTTCCAGTCAGACATTTAATACCAAGAGATTTATTGTTTAGGTTCAGTTGCTTAAATGTCACTTGTCTCTGTTGGAAGTCATGGAAGGAGCACCATGCTCTTGCCTAGTGATTCTTATAGAGTTGTACTGTTTGTCAAGTGCAGTACCTGCCCAAGTTATGTGCCTTGCACCTTTGCCTTTTTCCATTCTTTCGGTATGTTAGTGACTCTACAAAGACAAGGGACAGGGCTCAGGTAGTGGAAGAAGTGAGCAGGGGTTGCAAGAAGGCCTCAGTTCAAGTGCAACCCTGTCTGAGAGACATCTCTTCCTTCTAGCCTAGACAGGCCTGTTGACAGGATGGGACATATAGAGGACACTGGCAACCTAGAGAGCAGCTGGAAATATCCGTTGGGTCTTTGCCATTGAACCAGAAGGAGAAAAATAGATTTGCCATAATTCTCCATAAGTATTGCAAGGAGTCTTTGTTCCTCCCATTTTTCTTCATGGCTCAGTGCTTAAAGGTTTGCATTCTGAACAGAAGAAATAAACATTCCAGCTGAGGCCTGGAAAAGGTTCTCTCTGGAGGCAGAACACAGAGCAGGGTACGTAACACATGGTCATCAGCTGTGTATATACCTTAATTGCATTCATGCTTCTACTAGGCTGCAACAATCTTCTTTGAGCTGCAGGCCTGATGAGCCCCCAGTTCCAGATAGCAGAAACACCAGCTTCAGTAGAACTCACAGAGAGAAAATGGCTTCAGTTGTTTTTTCTTCAGAAAAAAAAAAAAAAAAAATTTGATTATTTTGATTAGTACAAGAAACTAATGCTCATATTTATTTTAACAGTACTTCCTCTAAAAAAATAGTTGGAGTAGATTTTTATGATCATTTGGAATATTTACTTCGGGAAACTTCAAAACAAGACCACATTCCCTATCACAGCACCCTCAGGATATTGTTTGATGCAGGAAATAAAATGAGCATTTTTAATTCATGCAAAACTGCCCTCTCTGAGTTAAGAACAGTAATAATAGACAGTTTTAACTACTCAAATATATATTACGTGCTACTTCTCATGGCCTGTCATGTCGCACAGTGGCAATTCAGTCTGGGATTGCACCACGTCTACCACGCCACTCTCAGATCTAGATACTCTGGTTATAATTGCAGAAAATATCAAAATTACCACAAATACGTTCTGGCTATAAAGGAAACAATTTGGTAGCATAGAAATTTACTATAAGTTCCAAATCCTATTCCTTCACATACTGGTTTGAATGCCACATGGGGATGAGGTTTGGCTCTGGAGAGATGTTGGATTTCTTTTTACTATGACTACAGTTACTTAGGTAGCCTTCTGGATAGTGCACCAGTGTCGGCTTAGGAAGTAGATGTATTTTGAGTCACCAATTCTGTTCTCAGTTATTCTACTGACGTCAGTAACATGACTCTAGATTTATACTAGTGTAACTGAGAACAGAACTTGGTCCAAAGTCAAGAACAGTGTCTCCTCTTCTCTGGCCCAGGACAAGGTTTTTGAGACACAACTGCTAGGCCAAGTTCTCAAGGTGAATGGACCCCAGTCTACAGTGGTTGATCTTTGCAATGATCAGATGCTGGAATAGCTAAAGTCACCGTGTTCTATGCTCTTACTTTCTTTCAGTGTTTGAAGTCTGCACTGTAAACTGTGCAGACCCAGTTCTCCATTTTCTTTTGGTTGTTGCAGGTATTTGTTGCAGGTATTTGTCAGCAATGTAGTATCTCTTCTACCAAGAAGGTGAACACACTTTGTTCATTATGACCACAGAGTATAAATGAAAGTGATCTTGCTGGATGAGAGAAAGGAAGACTTGTGCTAAGAGCTTTTACCTTTTAACTGTCTTAATCCAGAAATTGCTTTTCCTGATCGACTGGGGAAATGTGGCTGAAGTGACACTGTCTCTCTTGGCAAGCAGCTTCTCTCCTTTCTGAGGGTGCTGTGATCCTTCCCCCAGAGCTTATGACCTTAGTAATGGTCAGAAGAAGCAGTGCTCGTGGAGATGCCCAGGCAGCAGGACAATTCAGAGGGGAGCACTTAGCTCTAATACAGCCCAGGATGACCAACAACACATGCACTCTTGGCAGCTCTACTACCTAGTAGTCATTGATCTCTGGGTTTGGGGCTTCCTTGTGGATGGATGCATATACAAAGAGCACTACATAAATAAAACAGCTCACAAAGATTAAGAAAAGTAGTAAACCTTCCCTTTCCATGCTCAGGGGGAAGCAGTGCTGATGACTTCAGGCTGCTGTGTAACTTGCAAGGGTGCTGCCAAAATGCCACTGAGATGGAAAAACATTTCAGCCAAATAGCAGCCCATGGGGGTGTGGAAGAACAAACCATGCCTTCATGTATTGCAGCAGCAGTGATGTCACTCTATACAGCCAAGTTTGCTGGTTCACCCAGCTCCTGCCTAGTGAAAACAGTTGACATTCAGTCTGTGCCAGGCCAGGAATAGTCTCTGTAACTTAACCTCCTCATCACAACTTGCTAGACACTTAAAAGAGCCACTGAAAAAGTTCTTTTTCTTTTTAAAAGGGAAGGAGGGTTAAATTCTGATTAAGCTCCTTGAAATCTGTACATTTGTGCAATGTTTTTCGGTAGCTTACATCATATGATACCCAGTGCCTGGTACCTGACCTGTTCCTCAGCATTTCCCAAGGAGTTTCATATGTTTAGCTTTCCTTTTCACTGTGCGGAAATTGAATAGATTAAATTCACGTATCTGAAATTTTAGAACTGAGTAAATACTGAGCTAAGCATAAACACTGCATCTTACTTGCAGACTGCTATGTTTGTCCAAAAAAAGTAGAGAAATATGATTTTATCAGATAACCAGACTGTGAATAGTTTCTTTCCTCAGCAGTTCAGAAGCTGCCATCATACCTATGTAAATGATAGCCAGACCAGTACAGTGCTGTTGTTTCAATCCCGTCCTTGCAGTGACCTGTATCTTGAACGTTTGAAGAGGATACATTTCCCACTTTAAACACTACACTGCCCAAGTACTAACAGTATGGCCTGCTGAGACAAGGATCTTCACAAAGGGTTTCAGAGACAGAGACTAGCCTACTTCAATCAGCAGCATTGAGTAGTTTTTATAACAGTGACTCCATCTAGGAAAATAATTGCTGGGATTGCTTCATGATCCCTGTGTTTATTGTTATCCTACTCACTTTTCAGCAAATGTTCTCAGTTTACAAGGGACAAGATGTCTCTTCAGACCTCTGCCCATGAGATCTGAAAGCCAAGCTTCTTCCTAGTTCAGACATCACCACCAATAAATAGTGATAAGCATTGTGCCACTGGAATTTAGTCAACAGCTCTGTTGATGAGTGAGCCAGAACATAATCATATGCTCCCACAGCTGTGTTGGCTTTGCACAGTTAAGAGTACCACAGAAGCCGTAAAATCATAATTTAACCTCAGAGCAAAGAGATAACTCATCACATCTCTCTGTGGTGAGGATGTTCTTCTACATCTGGCTGCAACCAAATGTGTCATTTTTCTCTTTGCTTTTACATATACATTTTTTAGCCAAAAAACTTTAAAAAGACCATAAAAATTTCTGTTGTGTACAGGGTTGTCCTTAAGATAACAGTGTTCTCAGATAAGGTGTAGGTGACCATCCCAGTGAGCAAGTTCTTGCTCCTTTCTCCAGGCTTTTTTTGGCTACTGCAGGTTTACGCAGAAGTTTCCTCAGAGGGGGCTCTTATTTCAGGAAAATCTACTGTACCTACTCCTATATCCTACTTGCCTTATCTTAGTGCCAGGCAATTTTCCCTGTGGGAAATAAATATTGACATGCAAGGGTTAGATCCAGGGCTCTGCACAGCTAAAAGGAAGCAGCCGTCTGTGTCCAGCATAACTGAGCTTTCCTTTAGCGTCCTTTGACTTGCGTGTGGAAGCACAAAGATTCCTTTTTTACTGCCCCTCACTACAGCATCTGTCTATGTTTCCTCTCCTTTACAACAGAGGCAGAAAAAAGGATGGGCTTTCAGGTCTCAGCATCTTTACTTCCTAGTCTAGCAGATGGACCTCTGTCTATCGCCATTGGCAGCAGATAGTCAGATGCATCTGGAGTGGAAATACACATTTTCCTCTGCAGCCCTTCTGAAAGGGTGGCACAACTGGAAGGCAGAAAGCAGCAAGGAAGAGGCCATATGGCACAGCCCTCTGCTGAGGCTACCAGTATTGGAGGTTGTGCCAGTTATTTGCTAGGAACCTGATTCCTACAAGCTACCAAACCTTCAAGTTATCAGGTTATTATCATTGTGGCTCTTTTGGTAAGAAATCCTCTAAGTCACTCCTGAAATGGTTGTAAAATGTGAATGAACAAATGAATGAATGAGTATAGCGTGTGAAAAGATCTTTATCCCATGCAAACAAACGTCTTCAGTGTTTTCAAATTACAGAATTCACGTAAGATCAAAAATGCTGGAGATTGGAAACATCACAATAAACTACTTCTGCCGAAGCTACATCATTGGATTATTTTTACCTCCTCACTAAAGATGCTCGGAGATGAAACCAAATACAAGCATGAGAGGAAGTTCCAGAGATGAGAAGCAAAATTGGCGGGTATGCACCTGTATTTCCAAAAATTACATGGAGTGATAGAAACAAAACTCAGTTTTGAAAATCTTTGTACAGCGTAGAAGGAAAAAGTTAATTTTATTTCTGGTACTAATCTAATTTAGCTCTTCTAAGTCATTGGGATTTTATGACTGGGAGGACAAGAATCAAGATTCACTATGATAATTTCAGTTTATAAATGCGTTGGCTGAATTTTTTAAGTAGAGAAGGAAGGTAAGGAGCATTTTCATTTGAAGAACTGTGTCTGAGTAACTCAGCTGAGAAATCGCAGTTCCTCTGGTTTTTCACATTTGCTAGTACTGAGGCCTCATAGGGAAAGATGTGCCATTTCCAGGAGTCTTACAGATCTGAGCCAAAGTGGAGACATGGATCTGGACAATTGGAGGAGTTGAATTCTATATTTCATTGCTCGGTTCTACAGTGGATCCAAACTCTAGGTGAGGATGGCCTCCACCTGTATAGAATGGATAGATGGATGCTAATTTGGATGGAAACTTCGGTGTTTCAGCTCATTACAAGTTAATTATGAAATTCCCCTGGGAAATGGAAATACAGATCAGACTTCCTTTAGGGAGTGGGTTTTATCTAGCTCCTAAATATGCTTCTAAACTTAATGTCACTGTAGTTAGCCAATAGCCTGCTCAAGCTGTTCAGTCTGAGAATACTTATCTGAATTACTAAGAAAGTAAACCATGAAGGGTTTTAGAGTATACATTTCAAGCATAGCTGAAGGGTCTACTGCTTATATTCATTCCACCCAAGGATTCCCCCAGTCTGTCTCCAGATTGATGTAAAGATAGACCTTGATGTGGACCCTGCTTTCACACTGCAGTCAAAGATTAAAGGAAGACTGATATTTTATAATTGTGTTGAATGGGTTATCATTCACTGCCATCAGTTCTGGAAGTGAAACCAAATTTTCCCTGCACTCCCTTACTGGGACTTACAGAGTCCCCTAGACGCTCCTGCCTTCTGCTGGCTAAACTGATATTAGCAGCCTCTTCGGTTTCAATACATCAACCCGACCATATCTGAATATGGGTGGCTAAAGCATATTCCCTCAGCAGTATTTTCTTGGAACATGTAATGCACAACAAACTACTTTTTATATTATTTTTTAATGCTTTACTTACAGTGCCATTCTTTTTTGTCATGCTCAGGCTGATAATTGTCAAAGCAAATTTGACTGGTACAAAAAGGCTCACTTCTGTAGACATAGTGCGCACTGATATACACTGACATTCTTTTTCTGAATTTACTTATTCATCCTGGCCAAAAAAAGCCAACCTCCACAGCACTTGGAAGTGTTGGAAGTAAGCAAAGGAAAGTGAAATTTGGCTCTTATGTCTTTAAGAACTCAAGTAAGGAATTGTAATGGCCTTTTTCAGTAACTATCTACTGCAAACTACCCAAATTGACTGAAATAATAATTGTTTTTCATACTGTCTAACGTGTTCCTAGCTTTTTTTTTTTTTAAATACATATAGCAACAAATTAGTCAGTGGCCAATCTATCTAGAAAATGGTCTTTTTCTAATAATATTACTATATAAAAATGATAATTCATAATCTGTCTTTGCAGAGAAGAAAGATTCCTTCACCTGTTCCATAAGATGAATCAGTATGCTGCAGCACTGACTGGAGGAATTGTTTTATATTTATAAATTGCAAACAACTGGAACTCCGCAACACAGTCACCTGCCTGTTCGACACCTGGTGTTAATCCTTTGGATAGTTCATTCATGACTCCCACGAACAATGCAGGGAAATAAAAAACATACAGAAGGACAGAGCGACTCCTCAAGTATTGGGAGTCTCCTGGATGACACAGACCGTGAGGTGAGCAGCCTCACAGATCGGGCTTTCAAAAGTCTGTGTGTGGCAGAACTTGAAGACTCTTACAATGAACCAGATCTTGCCATTTCACCTGACTTCACTCACCAGTTCTCTGCTAAATTTCATCCAGGGGCATTAAACCATGCCATCAAATTAACAGCAAGCTGTAACAAGCTAGCAGCAAGAAACAATGAACATGCAATATGGGCTTCAACATTCCAGCAGTTACCAAAGTGTGCTCCAGAAGAGAAAAAGAGTGCCAAGAATAACACCCTTGGTACAGAAAGGAAAAAGCTGAATTTGCCAGTCCCTGGTCCAAGGAACAATAAACATGTTTCAAAAGTGTCTTCACTGATTAAGACATTTGATAAGACTGCAAATCAAGGGTCAGGAGATTCTCTGATAGCCAGCAAGCAGCCCATTAAAAATAGCTTTCAAAGATGTAAATTAAATCATGGAAATGATATGGCGTGCTGGGATAACAAAGCTATTTTAAACATCCACAAGGAACTGTCTGGATTTTCTGAGGACAGTCAAGATAGCCACTATGTCAGTGGCAAACATGAGCCACAGAAAAGACCTAATAAAATAGATATGACTTACTGTGGTTCTGATGGTTGTTATCCTGTGCTGATTGAGATGTCAAAAGTAGCCAAGTCAAATTTTTCTCGTTCATCTAAAAATGCTTTCAAAAACAAAAATTTGAAAGTTAATGAGCCAGCAAAAAAAGGCAATTTTCTTCACAGTGAGAATAGTGCTTTTGAATCATGGAATGTCCATCATAAAAAATTGTCTGAAAAAGAGGAATTTGTTGATCCAATAACAAAAAAGGAAAGTCTTACATACCTTGAAGAAGTGACAGTTATTGAAGGATCTCATGCAAGTGAACTTAAATTGCCACCCGTCAAGGCCACTGTTACTAAGAAGGAGAAGAAAGATTTTCAGAGGGAGCCAACTCCACCAGAAACTGCTTTTAGTATCCCCCTCCCAACTGTATTTGTACCTCATGGTCCCCTCCCTTCTGGAACTGATTTTCCTGCTGCTCTTCCTCCTATACCCCCACCTAGGATCCACGTGCACCAGGATCCTCCTCAGCCACCTTCAGTCCCTCAGCCAGTTCCACTCCCAGCTCCCCCACATCCCCCAACACCGCCCACCCGTGAAGCTCCTCCTATACCACCCCTGCCGCTTCCAGATCAACTTTCCCCTCCTGACACGTCCCAGACCTCCATCTCACCCCAGTCCATGTCTCACAGGATGGCTTCCCCCTCATCTCTGTCCCAGGCACCTGTTCCACCTCCACGAGGGCTCCCAGCCACCTTAACCGAAGAGAACAGCACCAGTCCACCCTGGAGGAGGCTGAGGGCTACAAAAGGGGCATCAGAGAGAAGACAAACTTCAGAGGAGTTCTCAGCCAGCAGTGAAACATGTTTATTGTCTGAAAAAGCATCTGGAGCCAAACCTGATCAGGATATCACTCCTCTGATTAAACAGGCAAACTCTCCTGGATCAGTCAGTCCCATTTTTAACATCACTAAACTCTTAACACCCATTATACCACCAAAACAGGAGATGGACCCCATGGAAAGTGAGATGATCCCTCTCACACCTCCTCCCACTGAGAGCATGTCAGAGAGAGACGATGAAGGGAGTGTGTTTAGTGATTACAGGTCTCGAGACAGTTACAAATCAAAAGCGTCAAGTCTATTGTTCAACTTGAAAGATGTACGTAAACGTGTTAAGACTATTTACACCCCTTCTCCTCTATTAAGAGTCTTGGAAAATAGAAATAGGGCTAGGGAAAGTATACAGGAGAATTTGCAAGAAAAAAATAGCATGAAGATGGCAGAGAGAGATGAATTGAGTGATATAACTTCGGTGTTGTCTGAGAGTGTTCATGAAAAGGACAATAAAACTGATTTAGCTGGACACTTCACAGACAATTACCTGACTTTGAGTTCACCCCAGACAACAGCAGACTTTTTATTTCACCAGACTGAAGACAATTTGCAGCAAGATCATTCAACACATGAAGATCTGATTAAAAATACAAGGGGTAATGAGGACCACCCCTTGTTAGGGCATCACTGTGAAGAGCCCAATTTAAGAAAAATTTTGCCTTATCCAGCAATGAAACTATACAGTAGAGACAATACAGATAGAACACTTGGGCAGCCCTTGCAAAATCCCAGTTTCCAAGCTGAGGAAAAGGAGAGACAGGCTGGTAAACCAAATGAAAATGATGCTTTCAAAACACTTCCAAGCCAACTCTCACCAGCAGAGGGTGTACCTTACAGTGACATCCAAACCAACATGGCAGTCACTGGCCATGAAGCACAAGGCAAAAGAAGCCCTAGTTCTTCTGAACAATCTTTCATCTCCACTGTAGAGCAACCATTTCAGGAGGAGCCACTTTCACCAGAACCCCTGGTGGAGAAGGAAAGTCTTCAAGAAAGCCAGAGGACTAAAGCTGAAATGAGTGTAGAAAGTAAGAAAAGCCACGAGGAAAGAAGAAATGCAGCTGGGGAAGACTATTATGCTTGTGTCAGCTCTGGCACTGGTGCAGCAGAGAGGAAGGAGGGTACTGAGAATGAACAAAGCATGATGAAAGAAAAGCTAATACAAGAGAAAAAGGAAGAAGCCAATGGCATGGATTCTACTTCTGACAGCATAAAAGACGCATCCACTCCAAGGTCTGAGGAGCCACAAACTCAACCATCCTCAAGTTCAGCCAAACCCTGTCTGTTTATGATCAAAAATAATACATTCAGGTCACCTCAGGTAATAAGAGCTGTCAAGATGCCTCTGTTTAGATCCTTTTCTCTAGATGATACAGTGAGCAGCAGTTATAAAGAAATGGAAGGTAGATTTGCACTCCCAGCTGCACACAGCAAGCAATCCCAGGATGCGCTGCATGCCCCGGAGCAAGACTGGTTGGCACCGATGCGCAGAAGGCAGCAGGATGTGAGGGAAGGAGCAACTGACAGAGGGAGAGATGCCAGTGAGTCTGGATCTACTTCAGCAACACTGGACCCCAATCTTCTGCAAGATTCAGAGAGCTTTTTGTTAGGGAAGCTGATGGAAGAAGATGAAGAGACCTGTGCTTTGTTAAATGAAGTTGGGAAAATGAATGAGGAAAGTATCTGCAGAGATAAAGAGAAGCCCCAGATTAGGAAGGCAAGACGCAGCTTAACACAACCAAATTTAGGTCCAGAAAATGACCAAGCACAAAACAGCCCCAGCTATCCAACAGAAAGAAAGGTAAATTACTTTAAGAACCATCATTTATTTAATCGCAGAGGTGGCTCTTGTGCAAAAAAAATAATAACTACAGAGACAATTTCCCCTGTGACAGAATCTGTACCAGAGGACCATACATATCTTTCTGTATCCCACGAAGCTTTAGAGGACATGCTAGACATGGAAGATGCACAAGTTTTGTTAGACAGCAATGAATGCTCTGCTGTTACAAGCCCTAGATCAGGAAGCACAATGCACTCTTTTGTCAGTTTACCATCAGAGAAACCAACAATTTCTAGCCTTGAAGAGACAGAAGTTGCTATAAACCCTGCCTTACTGAACATGGCATTGAAGAGTCAAGCTGATACATCTGCAGAAGAAACAATCAATTCAACACAGAGGCATCTTCTACTTGATCCTGCAGGGGAAGCTGAGAGACTGGAACTAGGGGAGAGAGGAACAGGCAAGCCTCCTGCTGTGCCACCAAAAACAGAAAAGGCTCTGCGGCGGGCCAAAAAGCTGGCAAGCAGGAGGAAGAAAATAGAAGAGCAGCAGAAAAAGCATCAGATAGAGCATACAGATATTGCAGCGAGAAAAGTTACTCGTTCTGGACACACACTAGCATCTCCCTCACCACTGGGGTATTCTATTCATCCTGCTCCTCACTCAACTTTTACTTCTCCAGAAACTAGTATAAGAAGACTTAGTGGTGCATCTGCAGTAAGCCCTTCTCCTTCTTTGACCCAGCGTAAACTTCTCCAAGACCCCGATTCTGGCCAATACTATGTAGTTGATTTACCAGCTGAAGTTAATTTAAAGACTTTTTATGACCCAGAAACTGGCAAGTATGTTCAAGTCTCAGTCCCTTCCTCAGAAGAAAATGTATACCAACCCTCATCTTCAGAAAACAGGAATTCTCCTTATGCCTCCTATCCTAGAGCACTGCCTTTACCAGCTTCATCTGTAGCAGTGCTGAGATCACCTTCTCAGCTCTCGGAATCTACCTGGTTAATGTCAAGCATACAAAGAGAACCAGCAGAACTACCAAAAGGTGGTCAACAGGACTACAGATACTCTGGAGATGTGGATAACCAGACCTGTATTGAACCAGGCTCTCACTCCTGCAGCCAAGATACTGAAGAAACTCACATTTGCTTGGGAAAGGACATAAGCTCAACCCCAAATACAGCCCTAGTGTCTCTCACTAATTTAGATAATTTTTCTGCTGAAGGAGTATCTTGAAAAATGAAGTAACAAAACATGCCAGCTGGTGTTAAGATCCATTTGGACAGTCACATGCACACACGAGCACACACAGATTTTATGTTAGTACAACACTATGTCTGAATCTCATTGTGGTTTGGGTGGGAAGGAAAATGAAGGATGATCATGCTGAAAGATGAGAGGAGATTATCTGTCTGAAGAAGCGTAAAATTGAGTGAGCCCCAAATCACCAGTGAGATAAAGGGGCAATGTCAGCTAAGCAAATAAACACAACAGTATGAAGCCACTGCTTGTTGCTACTGCTGCTTTGCCATTAGGATGGCCTGGAATTGCCAAAGCAAGTGTTCTTTTGCCCAAATGTGTTGCATGATATATGACAGAAAGTAAAGCCTATGAGACCATCCTGTCCATCCTGAGAACTAAGAGAGATGCCGCATCTCTTGAACTTTCCTCACTCAGTGCCTTTGAACTGTACTGGCAGGTAGAAAGCTACAAACATGCCACAAACCTGAGATTCATTTTTTGCTCACATTGATTAACCAGATGTTATTAACTAGAAGATTGTATACTGGATGCACAGTACAACAGCCATAACAAAGAAAAATTTAAACAACCAGAATACTGTTGCAGCTGCTCTTGACTTCTTATATAATTTTGTAGTGTCCACTAACATGCTGCTGTATTCTTTATATTTGTTGATAATTTCCAAATACACTCCTCTAGCATCAGGGGTTATTTAAAACGCAACTTTAAACTTCTACTTCTCTCAATAGTTGGCCCAAAATATTTTGGTAAGAGCAAGGTTGAATAAAATCCCATAACAATATTTAACTTCTTGCTAGGATGAAAAGATCTCTGCTTGATGTAATTGAAATGCTTTTCATTTTGGTTTGGTGTTAGGCTCCCACTGAAATACAGTGCTAACTTTTAAAATCTGAAAAATGTTGTTGATAATTTTGTTTTCATGCATTCTGTGATTTAAAAACAAAAACAAAAAAAAAACAACAACATCCAAAGTATTAATTTCTGAAAAAGGATTATCACTATTCTTTGAAAGCTCTATATCAAACTATGACTCATCCTTGCTTAAGATATTTTTTATCATCACAGATAATAAGAGAACGTTGGTGAAAAGATGGAAAAAAACTGAATGTAATGTGTCTGCTTATAAATATATATTTGGAGTAATGGTTTCCCCTTTTTTTCCTGTCTCATTTCATAGCTTGCCTTTATCAAAATTGAAGTACAGGAGTATTTTAATGTCTTCAGACATTAAAATTTTTCAATGAATTTTGACTTGGAACTCAGAAAACCTATTCTCCCCTAGAACAGAGCTCATCTTGGAAGAATTTAACTATTTGGAAATCAAGAGCGTTTCAGAAACAGGAATCACTTATCAAGTTGTTAAATTAAGATAAATGTCTCCTATTATGAATATTTTTCCTTTATTTTGGTCACAAATAAGTCACCAAACTGACATAGTGCCATTTACACTGTACTTCTCTGGTATCTGCTTTCATTGTATACAACATAATGCCTATCCAGTGTAGGACAAGATGTCATCTACATATAAAAGTATCAATAAATGGATTTATTAAAGTTTTCCAAGGAACGTGTGTGATTGGAAAGCCCAGAAGAATGTACAAGCCATTTTTTTGTTGCTTGATCTCACAAATGTAAATAACCTTAAGAGCCAGAAGTCAAGAGGTGAGCAGGCTCTCAAAAAACAGAATAACAGCATGTTTTCCCAGGGGAGTCTAGGATAAAAAGTATCTGTACACATTAAAAAAAAAAAAAATGGTAATTTCATTAGCAAAACATAGAACTGCATTTAAACAAACAAACCTTTAGTTTGATTAACTTTTGTTTGTTTTGTAGATGTGCACATTTTTCCTTTTGCGCTCCATTTTTAATTTTTTTTTCAGATTCTTCTCTCACTATGGAAAATTGTATCCTCCAGTATATAACTGCTAGGTATGTGAGGAAAGCAGAGTGAATTTTTCAAATTCCATGGCAGCAAAGTGAAGCCTGGATCTCTGAAGAGGAGTCAGTACTAATCTGAATACCAAACACCTTTAGCCAATGCTTTCTGTTAACTAATAGGATCTACAGTCACATTAAACTGAATCTTGGGTGTGTGTAATGCTTTAATGCTATAATGCGATGGAAAGAACAGCAATAACAGCAGTCTGACACAATCCTAGGCTTCAGCAAATGACAAGCCCAAAAGCACCAGCCATGGACACAGAAACAGAGAAGAAAATTTGTTTACCTTTGGAAGGCCTCAGGGTTGACAGGAATCTCCAGTCTCTGATGAGGAGATAACCTCACCTCCACTGCAAACCCTTAAAGGAGATCTGGGAAGAGGTGGATCCTGGCTCCACTCCTTCAGGTCCCGTGGGTTGGCCCTGCCTTCCCACCAGGTGCTCAATCACTGTTTCAGGCAGTGATTTAGCATTTCCTTTAGAACGTGTTGCAGAGAATTTTGGCCAAGATTTGTAGCTAAATGAAACAAACCCAGAGCCAGAGGTCTTTGAAAATAAATCTGAAAATGATTCTTATCGTGTATTCGGACTTGTCCCCAGAGTGCATTGACACATGGAGTGAATGCTGTTACACAAGTGTTGCTTCAGGTGCAGACAGATTATTTATATATATGCATATAAAAAAAAATATTCTACAGTTAAATATACATGCATTTTATGCACCTATAGAACTGCTATTTGCATGTCAGTATAAGACAGCAGTAATATCTATGATGGTGAACACAAAATGGTTGTGTGTTAAAAGGTGGCAAAACAATAACTTTTCAAATAACAAATATTCCCCCTTCCCCCCCCCCTTGCACTCTTCTGTTTTGTTTGGTTTCTTTTTCCATTGCTGTAGTGGAAAATCTAGGTCTTCTGGACAAGATGACAGCTGTTAATTGACCTCTTTTGGAGAGGAAGCTGTGGGAAATGTGCAATAATCACTAAAATGTTTATTAAATAAGCAGTGTTTTGTGATGCTAATGACCATGACGTTAAAGTAGAGTGAAGGGATGTGTAGGCAAACAGAGCTGAATTCAGCCTTGCAGCAGCCTATGGCTCTGTGTGTAGAGAAGTACAGCAGGCTGAGAGGGGCTGGGGCCATTGCTTTCACTGTTCTCTTCTCTAGTAGTTTCTGTTTCCCGTGTTGTATTTCTGGCTGCTCCCAGGCTTGGTTGCAGTGATGGATCTTCCTTGCCAAGTGTGACAGGGACAAACACGGGCCCAGAAAGTAGCATAGGTGCTGCTCAGCTAGACCCTGTCACTGGAGCCTCCTCACTTTGAGCCTTTCTCCTTCTGGGGCAGCCCCAATGCTTTTTGTTCTCACTGTCACACTACAGATGGGGTCTGCCAATCCGTTGCCATGATTCAGTTCCAGGAACTCATCTTTCCTCGTGCAAAATGCTGCATTTGTTTCAGAGTGCAGCTGAGTTGGAACATCCCCTCCCTGGGTGTTCAGGGCCTTCTTAACCATCTCTCCAGGAACATATGTGTCACCAGCACACTCTGTATTTGCAAATAAGTAATTATTAATTAACAAAATAAAAGGGACTTGTTTTGCAATACTGGGATGACTTCTAACCAGCTTTTTCATTACAATTACTTCTCAATTTAGCTTTATCTCCAGTTATGCCCACAAAACTATTGACACCCGTGAAAAATGTGTGGAGTACACAACAATAGGTCTGGGAGCTATTTTGTGCAAGATTTCCTCTTGCTTTCTACCTCTCCAGCAGAGGGGAGGGTAAGCCAAGTGGGTTGCACTCCATGCCAACGTCACAGCCATCTTTCCCTCCACCCCACCATGAGGGCTGCAGTCTAGGCAGTGGCCCTGTAGGTGAGATGCCAGCCCCTGGTCCAGCAGTTTCTTCTCAGTTTCTCTCTTTGTCTGTTACATTACAGAATGATGCTGAAATTTCTAAATGAGGTTTCAGCTCTCTTTTTGTACCAACAGGCAATTTCATTCAGATTCTTCCTGCTTTGAACCCTGACTAGCCAAACAGTCCTGGCTGACCATGAAAATGTTACTGTGGCTTGGTTAGGACAGAGCTCAAGCAGAAAAATTTACTAGACGTGATTTACCAGAAACACTTGCAATAGAATTGCTTCTCTGTATTTGGGGGAAATACTCTGTTTTCTTCCTGTAAAAATTAAGACCTCTATGTTTGATCCTCTGTCTCACTCAAAAGCAGCATCAAGAGCTGGTGATATCGTATGGGATAGGTTACGTGGGCTCTAGTGAATACACCTAAGTGTGTAATTTGGAAGAACTCATTTACATCAGTCATTTTTATTAAGGAAACTGTGCTTCAGAGCCTTATACAAGATAGAGCATGGAACACTTGAGTAAATTGAATATTAATGTGATTTTTGTGTGTGCAAAGGCCCATTATAACAATAGAGGTCAACAATTAAATTATTTCTTCTTTAGGGTCATTATTTCAGTCTTACAATGATCTTATGTTTACCACTGTTCCCCTGATATTAAAGATAATAGTGTAATTATGGGGTTGAAGTGAAAAGGGAATGGCTGAAAATGACCTGTGGTCTTCCCTTACTTCTTTTCAGTATTCTCAAAATTTTTATGATGTTGATTTTTTACATTAGGTAGTCAGGTCTTCAGTACTCTATGGGCAATTAGAGGCTTGTTTCTAATATTTTACTGAACATACTTACAAAGCAGCATTTCAGTAGTGAGAAGAGAAATCATTTATGTCCCAGTTGCTTAAAGCTCTGCATTTTTATTAAAGCAGATTTAACTCATGACTTTGGGGAAGCAGCTTTTCATGCTAAAAATTAAACATCTTCCCATGTCAAAGTCCAGTAGCAAAGATGAATAAATCAACGTCTGAGGTACTTCAGAAGGAGGTAGTTAAGATCCTGTGAGAAGTAGGGATAGTCTTTGAAATGTTTCTGGCAATGGAAAGAAGTTGAACTCCAGCAAAAAGTCATAGATGTTTAAACCTAGGGAATGCTTTGAAAAGCCAGGGCTTGTCAAAGTCAGCCTTCCCCTGCACATCTTGTCCAACCTTTTTCCATAGTTCTTAGTGCATGCCTGCTCCCACCCTTTCAGTGTCAGACCCTCATCTTGTTCTCAACTGCCCCTCCAGTTTCTTAAATCTGTTACAGGAGTGGCAACATTCAAAACAACCAAAAATGGGCACCATGCTTTTTCACTATAGCAGGAACAGCCTTTAGTCACCAACAATATGGAGCATTTCAGGTAAGCTCAGGTGAGTTTAACCAGGATTTTCTTTACATTGACAGACCACAGATGGCAAAGAAAGATTGAAATAAACAGGGATTCTTCCTTTTATTACAAGTGCTGATAAGATGCAGAAGATGCAAGGCAGATCTGGCCCAAGAGAAACCCTTTCTTTGATCATACTGAGATTTCTTTGACCTTGCTGAGAAAGTCCATTGGGATAATCAGTTTCTGCTGCCTGGATCAGGTCTCCTGGGACTGCATCCTTTCTCAAGGAAAGTGACGGAAATATTTCAGAATTATTAATTGCCAAAATTGGCTGTGTTTTTTTTTTTCTTCCCCCCCCCCAAAAAAAAAGTCAGAAAGAAAATGCAATGTAAGATGTTATTTATTATAGTAAATCAATACATGGATGTAGGACTGTATGACAGTGTTTCTGGTGTTTCATGTCTACATGTCTGTTTAACTTATTATAAATATAGTATTTTATGTTATAATGAAATGTCTGACATGACCTAAACAGAGCCCCTGAAGCTCCCATTGCTTCTCCCACCTTCTGGTCTGCATGTCCTATTTCTTGCACTGTCTGTCCCATAGGAGCTCTACCCTCCCCTGGGCTTCCTATGTGTTCCAGACACATTCTTCTACCCAAGGAAAATATTTGCCTCTTTCCATATTCTTGTCCTAGAGGGAGAGGTGTACCTAGGATGGCCTCATTCCTCCTGTCCTGCCAGAGGAGTGAGCAGCTGTGCTTTCTGATCATGAAATCCCTGCATTGTCAGCCTGAGACAATATACACTTCTGCTGGCAAAGAGGTCAGCCATAGCACTGCTCCAACCAGCAGTAAACTCCTCCCTTTAGCAACCAGCTGAGCCTTCACATACACTAAGCAAGGTCAAATACCAGCTGGAGTTCTGGAAAACAAAGCGTACTGACATATACTGGCTCCAATAGCTTCCTAAGAGCCACATACCACCCTGCTTAACTACAGTTACCTTGGTACCTGCCCTGCAGGCAGTGGAACCTAGGTCTCCTGCTCATGTTTGGGTTTTTCAACTGTCTTCTTGTGAGCTGAGACATTTCCTGAAAGAAACTGAGTAGTTCTCATTTGATGCTGACATGCTTACATACTGCTGCCACCGCGGAGCTCCCTCTGGTGCCGGGCTGCCCGCATCTCTGCGTACAGCTGCTGTGAGACAAACTCTGTGCAGGAGGTCTTGTTATCAGTGCTGGAGGCTGCTCCTGCTGCTAACCAAACTCATTTTCAAACGGTAGAGGAACCCGGTTGTGGTTTTATATACTTCTGGGCATTCACGACATGCTTAATGGTGTGCAACATCAGTATCCCTGGAGGATAGTAAGTGATGTTATCTGATCGTACTCAGCAGGACGCTAATCATGTGGTTTAGACCTGTCAATTTTTAAGCTTCTCATCTGAAAAGCCCAAACAACAGCCCGGTCTTTGAAAAGCTTCCGGCCACACAGTAGCACTGTTATATGTTCACACACTGTGCTTGCAGCACATCTGGCAGCAGGGCTTTGTCAGCAAAACTCAGCTTTGTGCCATGGCAGTAAGCCTATCCACTAAATAAATCTCACCCAAGTGGTAAGATAAAGGTATCATATGTGTGCCTGCATCTATACTATGGCTCCTGCTGTACCACATTGGGAAGGGCCAAGTAGCCCTGATAGGAGGAAGCCTATGATGTTCAGAGGCCACAGGCAGATCTATAAGAATATTGGTGTGTGATTTTTTTCCTCAGTTAATCCTAAATTCAGCCCAAATCAAAGTAAACTCACTCTTAGTTCCTCCCCCCCCCCCCCCCCCCCCCATTGATGGGCATGCAAGGAGCTGAGCTGCGAAAGAGTTGGTTATAGACAGAGTGGAGGGAGGAAGGAGGCACAGAAGAACAAAGTGGTTAACAGATGTCTTCATTAAAAAAAATCCAAACATCTGGCTGATGCAACTATCCTCTGTAACAGGTTTCTCATGAGCTTTGTTAAACCATGGCCCAAGTGTACCCACCCTGACGTGCAAAACCTATTTTGGCTGAGTATGACAAGTTTGAGAAACAGACTGTGAAATGAAGGCCAAGTCACATGCCTGTGCAGGGGAAAATAGGAGCAAGGCATCTTCAGGACCTTGGCTTCTCTCTCCTGGCTCATTAATGAGATTCTAAAGTCTAATTAGTAATGATGACTCCTGCTTGCATGTTCCTTTCTGGCTTTCAAAGTTTCTGGCTGTAATGTTATAATGTGATGGAAAGCACAGCAATAATAGCAGGGTAGCAAAGTCTTTAGCTGAAGCAAATGAGGACAAGCCCAAAAGCAACAGTGTTAGATGCAGAAATGAAGAGGGGGGAAAAAAGCTGCTTACCTCTAACAGGTCTTAGGTTAGCAGGGATTTCCAGCAAGATACCTTTGCCTCCACTGCCAGCCCTTGAATGAGGTCTGGGAAGAGGTGGATCCTTGGCTCCACCCCACATGGTCACTCAGGTGCATTGCATGTACCTTAGCTCCTTGGGTTGGCCCTACCTTCCCACTGGGTGCTCAATCACTGCTTCAAGCCATAACTCAGCATTTCTGCTACACTGGCAAATGACACCCTGCAGAACAGAAAAAAACTGGTGTCACTGAAGGTATTTTAATGTGAAGCTGATTCATAGCATTAGTACAAATGCATGGCTCTTAACTCACCATATTATTTTTCAGAAACCTTGATTTGATCTGAGCTGAATAGAAATTGGAAGTTTTCCAGAGTTTCCCATAAACAAAAGGCTTCCCAGCCTCAGCAGCTCTTTAGACACTCAACATTTGTGCAGAGCAGCAGACCCGAGGCATTTTAATAAAATGTAAAGAATCTGACCACCGTTATCTAGAATAAATAAATAAATAGATAAATAAATTAATTCCACACTGATCTCACTCATTTCTGTAGGGCAAACAATATCTCCTGTATCTTCAGATGTGCTGCTCCTCTCTCCTGGTGACAACAGAATGCAGCGAGGGCGGTATAGCATGGAGCAGCAAGTGGCTTGTGAGTCCTCACTGAAGGGGTGTCACACCCAATGGAGTCTGGCACAGTTATTAAAGTAGACCCCTGGACATAGGCTACGAGCTCTGACCCACAGAGCAAAGTGGGGATAAACACTGTGTGCAGTCCTAGACTGCTCAGGGTACATGGAACTGGCGTGGAGCTGGCTTTCTCAAGCACAGGTCCTGAGGCCTTTGGAGAGAAAGCCCATCAAAAAGGATAAAGATGGGTTTGCTAACACCCCCACTCATATGCATACACACCAAGGAATGCCTGGCTGCTTTGTTCTCACTGGCATTTTTCCAAACAAATCTGGATGACTCATGGGTTGA